CTATGTGTGTAGGGGTAGCTATATCGTGTCCTAATGAATAACCTGGGTGGTGGCTCCCTTAGTGTATGAAAAGATATATATAATGACTACAGAATTTATATAATTTTCCTCAAATGTAATGCCACAACTCAGATTTATTATTGGTAATAAAAAAATCCTTTATTTCTAATTGTTAAAGAATAGAATAGGCAGCTATGCTGGACACTGGTATAGTGAACACAAATTTGACATTAACCAGGCCCACTTGCCCAGGGACAATGTAACCTAGGCAGTTGCCTGTAGTCGGGGCAGCTATTCATATTTTTTCCTAGGTTTCTGAATCATTAGTTCATTATCCTGAGTTTATAGCTAAGAGCCACCATTTTCTTTCTTTTCCTTCCTTCCTTCCTTCTTTCCTTCATTCCTCCCTCCCTCCCTCCCTTTCTCTCTCTCTCTCTTTCTTTTTGTGATTAGGAAAAAACTACAAAAATTACTGTCTGGGACAGGCATAGTGGCTCAACAAGCTAATCCTCTGCCAGCTGGCGCAGTCATCCCATTTGAATGCTAGTTTGTGTCTTGGCTGCGCCACTTCCCATCCAGCTCTCTGTTTATGGCCTGAGAAGGCGGTGGAGGATGATCTAAGTCCTTGGGACCCTAGACCTATGTGAGAGACCCAGAAGAGGCTCCTGGCTCCTGATTTCAGATCAGCTCTGGTTGTTGCAGCCATATAGAGAGTGAACCAGTGGATGGAAGACTTTTTTTAATCTCTCTTCCTCTCTGTAAATCTGTCTTTCAGAAAAAAAAAAAAGATTTTTTTAAGAGTACAAAAATTACTGTCTCAACATTTTCAAGCATAGAGTTTGAGAGTGTTGTGTTTTTATCACTGTGGAAAACAGTTCTAGGATTTTCTCATCTTGCCATTTGAAACTCTGTACCCACCAAATAACAACTCCCCCTTTCCCTATCTCCTCAGCCCCAGTAACAACCACTGTATTATCTTTTCCCATGAAGTCGATTACTTACTTATATATTTCATATAACTAGAGCCATGTAGAATTATTTGTTTTTATGTTTAAATCATTCAATCAAGCCTGTTTTATTTATTTAAAGATTTATTTTATTTTTATTGGAAAGACGGATATACAGCGAGGAGAGACAGAGAGAAAGATCTTCCGTCCAATGATTCACTCCCCAAGTGAGCGCAATGGCCGATGCTATGCCAATCTGAAGCCAGGAGCCTCTTCCAGGTCTCCCACATGGGTGCAGGGTCCCAAAGCTTTGGGTCGTCCTTGACTGCTTTCCCAGGCCACAGGCAGGGAACTGGATGGGAAGCGGGGCTGCCGGGATTAGAACAGGTGCCCATATGGGATCCTGGGTGTGCAAGGCGAGGACCTTAACCACTGCGTCATCGCACCGGGCCCTGTTTTATTTATTTTTAAAATGTTAATTTGTTCTTGGGCCACTGCACTCATGTGGGAGACCTAGAAGAAGCTTTTGGCTCTTAGCTTTGGATTCGCTCAGATCTAGACATTGTGTCATTTGGGGAATGGATGGAAGATCCTTTTCTCTCCGTTTTTCCTTCTCTCTGTAATCTGCCTTTCAAATAAAAATAAATAAGTCTTTCCCTGCCTGTGGCCTGGGAAAGCAGTCGAGGACGGCCCAAAGCTTTGGGACCCTGCACCTGCGTGGGAGACCCGGAAGAGGCTCCTGGCTTCGGATCGGCATAGTATCGCCCGTTGCGGCTCACTTGGGGAGTGAATCATCGGACGGAAGATCTTCCTCTCTGTCTCTCCTCTCTGTATATCCGCCTTTCCAATGAAAAATTAATAAAAATAAATCTTTAAAAATATATATATATTTATTTTATGGGTTTGTAAGGTAAGGTTTACACAGAGACTGATCTTTCATCTGCTGTTTCACACCCCAAATGGCCACAACAACCAGACCCAAACCAGGAACTGGGAACAGTAAATCCCAGTTGCTCTGCTTCCACTTCACCTCTCTGCCAGTGTACCAGGGAAAGCAGCAGAGGATTGCCCTGCCACCTACATGGGAGACCAGAAGGCTTCAGGCTGGCCCAGCCTCAGCTGTTGTGGCCATCTGGGAAGGGAACCAGTGGATAGAAGAATGGAAGATTGTCTCTCTCTCCATCTCTCTCAGAACCACTCTACCTGTAAAATAATAAACCTTTCATTCTTAATTTTTTAGGATGCACTTATTTTCATTTGGAAGACAATAAATAGATAAATCTTTTAAAAAATGTATTTTTGCAGTTTCAGATTTCCAGAGATACTGAGAAGATAGTACAATGAATTCCCATATACCCACAGTTAAGTTTTCCTAGTAATTATTCAAATTTGTGTTTTGAAAGACAGAGTGACAAGGACAGAGAGAGGCCCATTTTAGTACAGATCATTTGCTAAGCTTATCAATGAGCCAGTATTGGTGCATCATTAACTGAAATCAATAGTTTACTCATAATTTTGAAGTGTTGCTTAATGTCCATTTTCTGGTCTATAATCTCATTCAGGATATTAAATAATATTTAGTCATTTATGTTTTCTTAGTCTGCTCTTGCCTAGGACAATTTCTCAGATTGTGTGTGTGTGTGTGTGTGTGTGTGTGTGTGTGTGTGTTTGTTCCTGATGACCTTGGTAGTTTGTGGAGTACTGGTCAGTTATAGGATGCTTCTGGGTTTTTTTTTTCTCTCCCAAAATTATGCTTAAAAAGCACCACTTCCATCATTGTCTTTAGCCTTTCTTTAAAACTCCCCTCTTGCAGCTGCAGGTTTCCATTGTTAATAGATCTTGTTAGGGCCCAGCACAGTGGCCTAGTGGCTAAAGTCCTCGCCTTGAACGCACTGGGATCCCATATGGGCGCCAATTCTAATCCTGGCAGCTCCACTTCCCACCCAGCGCAGCAGCACTGGCTGTTGCACTCACTTGGGGAGTGAATCATCAGGCGGAAGATCTTCCTCTCTGTCTCTCCTCCTCTCTGTGTATCTGACTTTGCAATAAAAATAAGTAAATCTTTAAAATATATATATAATAAGTCTTTTAAAAAATATACACTTATCAAACAATCCAGCCATCCTAAGTAAAACAAATTGTCCACACAATATACATACATACATACATACATACATACATACATACATTGTATTTGGTATACTGAAATTGCATGAAAATTCTTCTTTTGTGTGAGACAAGCACTGAGGTGGCCTTCGTGCTTTCCTGTGAAATGCTCAACAACACTATCTTCATAATTTATAACAGCTGATGTTGCTTTGAGCTGTGGTAGTCATCAGTTCCAACACTATGGCATTATCTCTCTTCCCTCCCTCCACTTCCCATATTGTAGTCTTATAAACAATCCACTAGTCACATCCCATATTTAAAGAGTGGGGAGTTGGGCCCAGCACAGTAGCCTAGCAGCTAATGTCCTCGCCTTGCACACACCAGGATTGCATATAGGCACTGGTCTAACCCCAGCTGTCCCGTTTCCCATCCAGATCCCTGCTTGTGGCCTGGGAAAGCAGTCAAGAATGGCCCAAGGTCTTGGGGCCTTGCACCCAAATGGGAGACCCAGAGGAGGCTCTTGGCTCCGGGCTACTGGCTTCGGATTGGCTCAGTTCTGGCTGTTGCAGCTGCCTGAATCAGTGAATCATTGGACGGAGGATCTTCCTCTCCGTCCTCCTCTCTGTGTATCTAACTTTCCGATAAAAATGAAATAAATCTTTTTTAAAAAGTACTCTAAAAAAAAAGAGTGGGGAGTTATGCATCTCTTGTTTATGATATACACACACACACATCTACAAAGTTTTGATTTATTGAAGAGATATTGAGCACTCACACCTGCCAGTTCTTTTCTCAAAAGCCTGTAGTGAGCTGGGCTGGGCCAGAGGCCAGCAGAATCCAGGTGCACAATGCAGGTCACCTCTGTGGCTGGGAGGAACCCAGTTACTGGAGCCATCAGCACTGCCTCTCAGCTGCTGCACTGCAGGAAAAGTGGAGACCAGAACTGAACCTGGGTACTCCAACGTGAGAAGCTGGTATCTGCAACCACTAAGGTAAATGCCCACAGCCTGGGTTATTAATTAATTAATTTTAACAAAGAGAGGCTTTTGAAAGCTCATTTGAGGGGCTAGGAAATGGTACAGTAGGCTAAGCCTCTGTCTGCAGAGCCAGCATCCCATATGCACACACCAGTTTGTGTACCATTGCTTACTTTCGATTCAGCTCCCTGCTTATAGCTTGGGAAAGCAACAGAAGATGACCCAAGTTCTTGGGCCCCTACACCCATGAAGGAGGCCTGGAAGAAGCTTCTGGCTTTGGATTGACCCATCTCTGGCTGTTGAGGCCATTTGGAGAGTACACCAGCAGATGGAAAATCTTTCTCCTCTGTCCGTAACTCCGCCTTTCCAATAAGAATAAATAAGCGTTAAGATTTAAAAACCCTCAAATTAAAAAAAAAAAAAAAAAAAGATGATTTGAGAAGCAGAGAATACGAGACCTCAGACTGACCAGTTCACTCTAATATCCTGAGGCTGGGAGTTCCAAGGCAGTCCAGGTCTCCCCAGTGGGTGGCAGGGACCCAACCAAGTGGGCCGTAACTTTGTCCCTGGGGTCTGCTCCAGGAGGGTGCTGGACTGCAGGCACTCTGGAGTGAGATGTGGGCTGTTTCAACTTCTTTACAGTTAGGTCAGCCAGCAGCTTCCCGGGGTTATTTCACAGCACAAAACAAGTTTCTAGCTGTTTGCATCACAGCAGGTGATGCGCTCCCAGCCTGAGACCCACACCGGCCGCCCAGCCTCCTGGAACCTCACTTTCCTGTCTCTAAAATGGGTGTTCCAAATTCCTGCTCCTCCACCCCCCCACCCCCGTTTTGGTGGTCTCTGGTTGTCACTGCCAATTTCCTATACCAACCTTACGGCGCCCAGCCTACCCCCACCCCGGGGCGGGGCTAGGGGCACTTCCGCTGGCCCCAGGGAGCCGCAGGTGGCAGGCTGCGCCGCAGCTAGGTAGCTACGTGTAGCACATGATGAGTCTCTGCTCCGGGCCGCGGCCCCCAGCCTCCAAATCCCCGGCGCCACCAACGCGGACGAACGGGCAGAACGTGAGTGCGCGGGCGGGCGGGGCGCGTCGTGGGGCTGCACGGCGCAGTCCCCCTCCTCCGACGCAGGGTCTTCCTTTGCTGCCTTCTAGAGTCTCTTGCCTCTCTCTGTCCCCAGCGCCGCCTTTGGCCACGGCTGCGCAGCGTCGTGTCCGCTCTAACTGGCGCGGCGCAGTCTGTCCCCGAAGCGGTGACCACCCGCCGGTCGGGCTCCGATCGTGCTGCGTCTCTGCACGACCTTCCTGTTCTCTAGGTCCTTTTCCTTGCCTGTTCTTCGTCTTCCTTTCCACACTGTTTATCGTACTGCCTCTCTGTGCTTCCGCTCTCACTCCCCTGGCTCGGTGAAATCCACGGCTTTTCTCTGAGCCGCCCCGTCTCCTTGTCTAGCCAGTCCACCCCGTCCCCCACCTCGCTCCTGCCTCATACCCTCTCCATCCTCTCGCTGCCCTGTCCCCGGGCTGGATCCTGTCTTGCTGCTCACTTGCCCCCGCCTTCCCACCCCTGGGTTTGGGCAAGGGGAGGATCTACAAAGGCTGTGCGCGCTCCAGGAACGGACAGCTGTGATTGCTCCTGATCTGCGCAACCCTGAAGGTTTGGAGGGAGGAAAAGCAGATCCAGCGTTCAACAACATGTGGCTGTTTCCACTAGGACTGTAGTAATGACAGTGATATTAGTGACAAAGCCTTTTTTTTAAAAATTCATTTGAAAGGCAGAGTTAAAGATCTTGAATCCTTTGGTTCACTCCCACGTGAGTGTCAGTGCCCAAATACGTGGGCCTCTGCTGCTCTCCCATGTGCATTGGCAAGGAGCTGGATGAAATCCCCAGCGGCAGGGACTCAAACCTGAGCTCTCATACGGGAGGCTGACATGGCAAGCTGCGGCTGACCATTACACCGCATCAGTGGCCACTGACAGTTACCTCGGGGTGCTTGGGTACTCTAAGGTGCTGGGTTAAGTGATTGAATGGATTGCAAGCCAAGCTACTGCAGGGAGCCTGCGGTGAGCTCTAGGTAGGGTAAGGTTGGCCTCTATCAGATTTCCGTGAGCTCCTGTAAATCAGTGTGTGCCTTCCCTGCTGCAGACCGCTTGGGCGACCCCTCTGTGCTGATCAGCTCTTCTAGTAAGTTAACGGAGACACTGTTGAACCAGCAGACTCATTTTCACCGGGATCCAGCCTGCTCTAATGGGGGGGAGGGGGTGCAGCAGGTAGTTCTGGCGATTGATCACTAGAGGGCCTTGTAAACTTGAATAAGGAGTTTAGGGCTAATCTGGAAGGCGGCCAAGTTAGGGATCAGAAAAATTTCTCTGGATCTTGCTGCGGGGTCACTGAGAGAGAACAGTGAGCTGTGGAAGCCACCAGGCAAATAAAATTGGTCAGATATGATGACTCTGTGTGTGAGTGTGTGTGTGTCTAGGGACAGCAGGGGTTGTGTGTGCGTATGTGTGAGTGTGTATGTATCTAGAGACGGATTATATGTGTGAGTGTGTGTGTCTAGGGATAGCTGGTGTGTGTGTGTTTCTAGGGACAACAGGGGTTGTATGTGTGAGTGTGTGTGTGTCTAGGGACAGCAGGGGTTGTATGTGTATATGTGTGAGTGTGTGTGTCTAGGGACAGCAGGGATTGTGTGTGTGTGTGTGAGTGTGTGTGTCTAGAGACAGCAGGGATTGTGTGTCTGTGTCTGTGTCTAGAGACAGCTGGTGTGTGTGTCTGTGTCTAGAGACAGCTGGTGTGTGTGCACATGTGCGTGTGTGTAGGCTGAGTGAGAGAGCAGCATGCATGATGACCCTAGGTTTCCGGTGCAGGACAACTGAGACAGTGAGGGTTGTGGGTTGCAGAGAGGTCTTGAGGGGGGTTGGCTTATCTGAATGGAGCTGTCCTTCTGTCAGCCCACCGAGGGTGGCCTGAAGACGTGTATGTTTGGGGGATGTGTAGGAAGCCATAGACAACTGAGCGAGAGTAGGACCTGCTTCATCCTTGTAGTTGGTACTGGCCTGGTACCCAGCAGAAGCTCCTGAAAGCCACACTTCCCCATCCCCTACCCACAGGGCCTCCCCACTCAGGAATGCTTTGAGTAGGGGCCAGAAGTAAGAGTAGGAAAGAGGTGTGGAGAAGTCTGTCTGCTAGAAACACATTTATAATATTCTCAAAAGAGATGAGAGGGTTACTATTTGCTAAGAGATTGGGAGTTTGCGGGGGGAAGAAAAGAAAGGAAGAGAGGGACAGGATTTAGAAGCTTGAGAGCAGAGCTGAAGTCTTGTTTGGTAAGGGCTGAAGATGCCAGTGCAGAGAGGTAGGTTGGCTTAGGTTTTTTTATTTGCTTGGCCAGGAGCCAGTGGGCTAGGCCACCGTGCACGGCCCCTGGTATGTTTGTTTTTTAAGATTTATTTTTATCAGGGGCCTGGGGCAATGGTTCGATTGTTAATCCCCCTCCTTCAAGCACCAGGATCTCATATAGGTGCTGGTTCATATCCTGGCTATTCCACTTCCCATCCAGCTCCGTGCATGTGGCCTGGGAAAGCAGTAGAAGTGGCCTAAGTGCTTTTGTTCCTGCCACTCATGTGGGAAACCTGGAAGAAGCTCCTGGCTGTCGTGGCCATCTGAGGAGTAAACGAGCGGATGGAAGATCTGCCTCTCCTCTTTCTCTTCTTTTTTTTTTTTTTTTTTTTTTTTTAAGCATCTGTTTGAAAGGCAAAGTTACAGAGAGAGGGAGAGACAGACAGATTATGCCTCTGCTTGCTAGTTCATTCCCGAAATGACTGCCACGGCCAGGGCTGAACCAGGCTATAGTCATGACCCCAAGTATTCTTCATGACCCCAAGCCATCTTCTGCTGTTTTCTCAGGCACCTTAGTAGGGAACTGGATTTCAAACGGAGGAGCCAGGACTTGGACTGGGAGGCCAATGTTGAGGGTGTAGGTAGCAACCTAACCCACTGTGCTACAATGTGGGTTCCAGAAAGCTAGTTTCAGAAGCATCTGGAAACCAGTTTCAGAAGCAAACTTGAAGTGATTGGATTCGTTACACTTTCAGAGCTGGAGTGATTTAGAGTTCTCTTGGTCTATTTTGCCTTTCCCCTCATCCCCTAATTTCATAAATGACTTGAGCTTAAGCCCAGAGCAGGAAAGTGCACTGTTCAAAGCCCATAGCTAACTAATGGCAGTGGTGGGTGCTGGAGGGGTGGTGTGTGCACGTGGTATTGCAGTCGGGCTGGTACGAGTCTGACCCCAGCTCTGCCTCATCGCTCTCTTAGCTGTGTCACTCTTGTCTCTGTACTCTCCTCACCTGTGTTCTGTGGGTACACTCAGAGGGCCTGCGAGCTGTCAGTGGTGGTGTACACTGGATCATTCAAGGGTTAACATCTGCACACTCACACTGAACTGCCCACTTTACAAAGATGACCTCAGGGTTAACCAAACAGCCCTGCCCAGGGGCCTTGAGATGAGTGCGAGAAAGAAGAGACCATCGATTCTGGGCTTTATTTTTTTCTGAGCTATAATATTTGACTGCTGTCAGAAGTGTCTTGTCCTCGGCCCTGACCCTTCTTGGTGGAAGTGTTCTCAAGAGGAGCTGTTGCCATGGCAACTCCAGTCTCAGCAGTTTGGTTGCCTTTGGCACTCTTCATTCCAGTACGTTAATCTTAGGGTTGGGGTTCAGTGGAGAGTGAGGGCTCTCTTCAGTCAGGCTGAGGGACGTTCTGGAGCCCTGACACAATCCCTGGCTCTTCAGTGACTTGTGGCAGAGTTTGCACAGGTCCTCTGCCGTAGCAGCCGTCACATCCCCTGGCCAACTCCTCACAGCCTGCAGCACACATCCACAGGAAGGTCTGGCCACTTCTACATCTTGCCACCTATGGAATCAAGCTGTTCCCTGGGAGCTCCATGAACTGGGGCCCCTTCACCTGTTTAGCTCAAGGCTTACATGGAATGCACTGTTGGTACATTTTGTTGAATGAATCACTCAGGAAATGGAGAGTAGACATTTTTATGTATTTAATCTTATTTATTTGAAAGGCAGACAGAGGTCTTCCATCAATTGGTTTACTTCCCAGTATCTGGGGTGGAGCTAGGGGGATGCCAGGAGTCTTAAACCCAGACTGGATGGGAGGGTCAGCCACTAAGCCACCTGAGCCATCATCTGCTGCCATTTCGGGTGTGTATTAGCAGAAAGCTGGACTCAAGAGCAGAGCTGGGACTCAAGCCTAGGCCTTCCCACATGAGATGTGGGCTTCCCAAGAGACATCCTACCTGCTGCACCAAATGCTTATGCACAGTGGAAGCACTGGAAAGCTGGAGGTAGTCTGTGCAATGACCTGAGGCTTGAGCTTTGGAGTAGAAGAACCCACATTCATGTCCTGAGAAGCTTCCTTAATAGCTGGTAGATCTTTTAATATTATTATTATTATTTTTATTGGAAAGGCGGATATACAGAGAAGAGAGACAGAGAGGAAGATCTCTCGTCTGATGATTCACTCCCCAAGTGAGCGCAACGGCCAATGCTATGGTGATCCAAAGCCAGGAGATTCTTCTGGGTCTCCCACGCGGGTGCAGGGTCCCAAAGCTTTGGGCCGTCCTCGACTGCCTTCCCGGGCCACAGGCAGGGAGCTGGAAGGGAAGCTGGGCTGCTGGGATTAGAACCGGCGCCCATATGGGATCCTGGGCGTGCAAGGCGAGGACCTTAACCACTTGCGCTACCGCACCAGGCCCAATAGCTGGTAGATCTTAGGCATGCTACTTCGCTGCCTTTAGTTTCACTTTCTTCTCCCATGCAATCAGGATCTAACCTATTCTACATAGGAGTGAAGATTAAGTTGAGTAATGTGTTTAAAGCATTGTACATGAGGCCAGGATTATCCTGTAGTAAGTTAAACCACTGTGTGCAATTCTGCTTTGAGTCCCAGTAGATCTGTTTCTGAACCAGCTTCCTATTGGGGTATCCTGGGAAGGCAGCAGAAGATGGCCCAAGTACTCGGACCCCTGCCACCCAGGTAGGACACTCTGATGAAGTTCAAGGAACCTAACTTTGGCCTGGCCCAGCCTAGCTTTGTGCCTATTTAGGAAGTGGATGGAAAATACCTCTCGCTCTGTAATTCTCCTTCAAATAAATTAAATCTCTGTAATTCTCTTTCAAGTAAATTAAATCTTTGGGTTTCATCAGGTTAAACCACCACCTGCAATGCTGGCATACCAAATCAGTACTCCTTTGAGTCCTGGCTGTTCCACTTTTGATCCAATTACCTGCTAACACACCTGGGAAAGTAGTGAGAAATGGCCCAAGTACTTGGGTCCCGTCATCCACATGAGATCTGGGTGGAATTCCTGACTCTTTTCCTCAGCTTGGTCAAGCCCTAGTGTTGTGGCCATCTGGGACGTGAGCCTGTGGATGGCAGATCTGTCTGTCTCTCCCCCTGTTTTTGGAACTGATTTTTATTCATTTTTCTTCTTTGTATTTTCTTTTTAGTTTTATAACTGCCTTTCAAGTAAATAAATAAATTTTTAGAAATAATTCAGAAGAAAATTTATTTTAGAAAAGCAACTACAACATGGTTGCTAGACTGAGGGCAGGAATATGTCCTGGTTATGCAGCACTGTATCCCAGTTTCTGATGGAATAGACATGAAGAAGCTGGTATGTGCTTCCTGTGTGACGCACCTTTTATGATCTTCGGTCATTTTGATGGGTCTGTGTAGCAGTACTTTGTTTTCTCCAAATGCTGCCCAATTCAGTATCTGTTTCTGTGAGCCTCATTCATTGACCAGTGGGCATATCCTGACCAACACCACACCAATCTTGCTGGGATCTGTAGTGGGCAACCCAGGGTCTGGCATGAAAATTTGTTGAAATGCTAAAATTAACTTACATTTGCACTCTTCTTTACAGTTTACCAAGCTAAAGTTACCACATTTTCATTACCAAACATTCCTTTTATCATTTAAGCCCCATTGACCCATATTTTGAAAAATATCTAGGGCCCAGTACAATAGCTCGATTAGCTAATCCTCCCACTTCAGATGCCAGGATCTAATTGGTCACCAGTTCGTGTCCTAGCTGTTTCACTTCCCTACTTGTGGCCTGGGAAAGCACAGTCGAGGACGGCCCAAAGCCTTGGGACCCTGCACCTGCGTGGGAGACCCAGAAGAAGCTCCTGGCTTCAGATAGGTTCTGCTCTGGCCATTACGGCCACTTGGGGAGTGAACCAGCAGACAGAAGATCTTTCTCTGTCCCTCTTCTCTGTAGATGGGCCCTTCCAATAAAAATAATCTTTGGGGCCCGGCAGCATGGCCTAGCGGCTAAAGTCCTCGCCTTAAACACCCCGGGATAACATATGGGTACTGGTTCTAATCCTGGCAGCTCTACTTCCCATCCAGCTCTCTGCTTGTGGCCTGGGAAAGCAGTTGAGGACAGCCCAAAGCTTTGGGACCCTGTACCCGTGTGGGATACCTGGAAGAAGTTCCGGGTTCCCAGCTTTGGATTGACACAGCACCGGCCGTTGCGCTCACTTGGGGGAGAGAATCATCGGGACGGAAGATCTTCCTCTCTGTCTCTCCTCCTCTCTGTATATCTGACTTTCCAATAAACAAATCTTTTTTTAAAAAAATAAAAAATATAATCTTTTAAAAAAAGAAAAGAAAAATATCTATTTTCCAATGAAAACAGATTTTTTTTAATTTATGTATTTTATTCTAGGGGCAAAGACACACCTGGAGAAAAAAGGGAGCTTCTGTCTGCTAGTTTAGCTCCCAAATGCCCACTAGAGCCACAGTGGGGCCAGGCTGTAGCTGGGAGCTAACAGCTCAGATTAGGTCTCCCCCGAGGGTGGCAGTGACTCAGCTGCTGGAGCCATCACCTGCTGCCTCCCAGAGTATGCGTTAGTAGAAAGGCTGAGCAAGGAACAGAGCCAGCACTTAACCTAGGCAACACAGCAGGCAATGCAAGCTGCCCGACATCAAACACCTACTCCAAATTCCAGTTTTTAATACAAGAGCATGTCAGCTTCTAATCAGAAAGCTTTCTTTAAAAAAAAAAATATATATATATACATATATGTTTAAAAAGTGGAGTTAGGGAGAGACAAAAGAGAGAGATCAATCTTTCATCCGCTTGTTCACTCTCCAAATGGCTGCAGTAGCCAGGGACTAAAGGCAAGAACACGGAGCTTCTTTGGGGTCTCTTACATGGGTGCAGGGACCCAAGTACTTGGCTCATCCTCTGCTGTTTTCCCAGGTGCATTGGCAAGGAGCTGGATAAAAAGTTGAACAATTATGTCTCAAACATAGAATGTCAGAGTTGCAAGAAGTGGCTTAACTTACTGTGCCACATTGCCAGCCCCTAGACCTTTTAATTCATTTATTTGAAAGACAAGAGTGACATAAATGGACATCCAAGCATATGCACAGAGAGAGAGAGAGTCAGAGAGAGAGAGAGAGTCAGAGAGAGCACTTTCATCCTTTGGTTCTGCAAATGGCTGCAACAGCCAGGATTGGGTTGTTCTGCATGTGTGGCAGGGCCCAAGTAGTTGGTCATCTTCTGCTGTCTTCTTAGGTGCATTATCAGGCAGTTGCGTCTAAAGTGGAATCGCAGAGACTCAAACTTACTCTGATATGGGATATTGGTATTATAAACAGTAACTTAGTTTGCATGCTACATCAGGCCCCACTCAGAACTTCTGATCATGTTGCGGGATGGGAGTGAGATCACACCAGACATGTCTAAGGTTTATTAAGGAGTTTTTATTAAGCAAGCTTGGTGATAATAGAGTATACTAGAAATAGCAAATCACAAGTCCATATGGCAATCCAACCAATCATGATCCAACCATTAACCCCAAAAGGAAGAAATAAATGGTCATTATCCTTAAGTTCATCCATTAAGCTCAAGACCTACCTCCCAGCTTCCGCAACAATATAAGTTATCCTAAAAGACATTGCAATAAATAACCTGGACACACTTACAAACCTACATTCGCCTTTCCCTGGCTTCTCTGCCCACATTCCACTACTGCTAGGCCTCACCTCCCCTGGAACCTCTGATAGTACACAGACCAGAAATAACATTACTATATCCATTGTCCCATCTAAGCAATACACAGGGACCATGCTCAGGGGATTACCTGTCCTGGGTCAGCCAAGGGTCAAGGTGCCGGAGTAACAGAAACACCTGACCAGAAAGAGTGTGAGCCCTGCTTCATGAGCCTTTTAAAGGGGCTTGTGAGAGAGTGGTTACACAACAATGCAATACCATCCTCTCTCAGTTGATAGGTGAGTCACAGGTGGGCAGGAGCAAATACCTAGGTGGTGGGGGGAGTGGGAGAAGATGGAATTAACATTCCATTGCTGTTAGGACCCATCTTGAGGACAGAGGGTAGGGGACACAGCCAAATTTCATTTGCCTACTGTCAGTGGGTGCTGGCTGTCACTGGCTGCACTCCATAACAATTATATACAATAAGAATCTTTGTCCTCATTCCGTCACAGGATGTGGACCCACAGTATCCAAGAAATGCTTCCTGAATGAGTATTGTATGGCTTTTTTAGTTTTCCTGAAATGGTGGAAATGCCTTCATCCAGGTAGTTGTTTTGTTTTATTTGTTTGTTTTTTACTTTTTTTTTTTTTAAGAAATGGATTAGTCAGGTCTCGAACCAATGCTCATTCAGGATGCCAGCATCACAGGTGGTAGTCTAACATGTTATGCTACAATGCTGGCTTCTGTTTTATATATTTGAAAGGCAGAGTTACAGAGAGAAAACAAGAAAGAAAAAGATTGTCCATCTGCTGGTTCTTTCTCCAAATGCTCACTTCAACTGGAGCTGAGCCAGGACTAAGCCCGGAGCCTGAAACTCCATTTGGATCTTCAACATGGGTGGCAGAGCTCAAGAACTTGAGCCATCATCTACTACCTCCTGGATGTGCAATGGCAAGAGGCTGTAATTGAGAGAGGAACTAGGACTCCAATTAGGCACTCTGATGAGATGTGGGCATCCCAAGCACTGTGCAAATCTCTCCTCCTCACTTTTTATTTTCTGTTAGATCTGAGTACTCTAGGTTGGAAATGCCGGACACATAACATAATTGAGGGATAAGGGAGGGAAAATAGATTGCCAAACACACTTTGGAAGTGCTGTTTTGTTTGTTTTCTAATAAAGAAAGAGTACTATATATATAGAGAAAGAGATATTCCATCTGCTGGCCATCTACTCCATCCTCAAATGGCCACAAGGGCCAGAACTGGAGCATTCAGAAGCCAGGAACTTCCTCCTAGTGTCCCAGGTGGGTGCAGGGGCTCAAGCACTGGTGCCAACCTCTGCTGCTTTTCCAGACACATTAGCAGGGAGCTGGATCAAAACTGGAGCAGTTGGGACTAGAACCTGCATTCACATGGGATGATGGTGTTACAAGTGACATCTTTTACCTGCGACACCACAACATCACCCAGTTGGGATTTCTATAGCAACCTCTACTACTAACTTGTTATGCATCAGTATGAGATATTCTTGTACCAAAATTGAATCTTTTTTCTTCCTTAAAAATGCCATCTCTCTCGAGTTATACAGCACAAACACAACATTGTTGAATAACATGGGCCTTCCTGAGGTATACGTTGGGTTATTAGGCTGAAAACAAGTCATGAACTCCATGGAGGTGGCACTGTTGGTTCACTCTGCCTCTTATGTTCACAGATCATTAAAGTTGTGGAGCTGAACGTCGGGGGTCAGTTGTATACCACCACTCTGGACACTCTGAGAAAATTCCCGGACTCCAAGCTGGCAGAGATGTTTTCTGGCTCAGTTCAAGCCTGCAGGGATGCGAGGGGTTGCTTCTTCATTGATCGCCCCGGCACCTATTTTGGACCCATTCTAGACTACCTGCGCAGTGGGCAGCTGCCCACGCAGCACATCTCCAGCGTGTACCGTGAGGCTCAGTTCTATGAGATCAAACCCTTGATCAAGCTCCTGGAAGACACACCACAGATCTTTGGGGAACAGGTGGCTCGACGGCAATTTCTGCTGAAAGTGCCTGGCTACCGTGAGGACCTGGAGCTCATGGTTCGCCTGGCACGTGCCAGGGCTGTGGCACAGCGCTGTTCCACCATCAAGGTGTGTGTGATGTTCTCTGAACAGCATTCTGTCAAATGTCCGGTGACCCAGGAGGCAGACACAATTGTTATGTTTGCAACTGGGATGATCCAAAAGGATGTGAGTGATCTTATGGACTGTGTGAAGATGGACCTTCAGAACCAGGGTTACCAGGTGTCTTATCACGGCCCCTTCTTCAAGAGTTCATCCTTTGCCAGTCTACCTTCCCCCCTCGACCCAGCCCGTAATTGCTCCTTTGAATTCATATTCACATGGTGGTGACTCCCAGGGCTAGGACTGTTAAGGGCTCTTGTGAGGCCTGTGAAATTAAAAGTTGCATTAAGAGCCATCTTTCGGCAAGAATTCACTGAGTTAAGTGGACTGCACTGGTCCTGCAGGAAAATAATACTGACTGTGGCATCATACCAGTCAAAATAGGTCCATGTAGCACCTAGACCTAACATCCAACAGGTTCCAACAAGATTAGCGCCACCAACAACCTAACTAGATAGAACACCTGGTGTCTCTAATCCTGGGACCTGCTCCAACCAGAAGTGGGAGAAAGGTTGCAGAGACAACAGTGCAGCCTCAGCACGGTATCACAGGAGGTGGAGAGTGGTGAGCCAAGAGCTGGGGCTTAGGAGACCACAGTGGAAATCTAACATAAGAACCCAGACCTGAAACTCGCTGGAGGTTGTGGCACAAGTGGCTGCAAGCAGAAAGTTGTGTACCAACTGCAATCAGTAAAATCACATTGTAGACCTGTGGGTGACATGGCTTAGAAATCTGCCCCAAGAAGAAGACTGCTAACCAGAAGAACAATGACCAACAGCAAAAGAAGAGACAAAGGCACAATGAATATTACTGAAAACTCCCTTGCAAAGGAGCAAAACCCTATGCCAACCTCAGAGTTAACTGAGGAAGACATCGAGAAAATGGGGGACACAGAATTCATAAGACTCATTTTAAAGATTCTGATCAAAAATGAGAAACTCATGCAAGAGTTCAAAGAATTTAAGGAAGCAATAAAGCAAATCAAGGCTGGTATATCAGAAATTAAAAACACAGTAGAGCAAATTAAACGTACAGTGGAGAGTCTCCAAAATAGAATGAAGCAAGCAGAACAAAGAATCTCAGAATTGGAAGATATTTCCTGTCACCAGGTGGAAAGCAAACAAAAAGCTGGAAGCAGAGCTGGATCAGGCCAAAAAAAGTATTCAAGAATTGAAAGACACTATTAGGAGGCCAAATATAAGAGTTATAGGAGTCCCGGAAGGTGCAGAAAGAGAAGCTGAGTTTGTAAATGTATTTAATGAAATAATCAAGGAAAATTTCCCTAATCTGGAGAAAGAATTGGAAAACAAGATCCAGGAAGGGCACAGAACTCCCAACAGGCTTGATCAAAAGCGATCTTCATCAAGACACATGATTTTCAAGCTCTCTTCAATCGAACATAAGGAAAAGATTCTGAAATGTGCATGTGAAAAAAATCAATTGACATATAAAGGAATGCCAATTAAACTCACAGAAGATCTTTCACAGGAAACTGTACAGGCAAGAAGAGAATGGAGTGACATATTCCAGATTCTAAAAGAAAAAAATTGTTGGCCTAGGATAACATACCCTGCAAAGCTTTCTTTCATCTTTGAAATTGAAATAAAGTTCTTCCAGAGTAAAGAAAACTAAAAGAATTTGCCTCTTCCAAACCTGCCCTACAAATGATACTTCAAGATGTTCTCTTGATGGAGAAGAGGAATAGCACCTACCAAAACCAAAGGCAAACAGGAAGAACATCCCAGTAAAATGACAACAGAAGACTAAATCAATGGACAACCCATTTCTAAAATGACAGGACCAAAGTTCCACCCATACATATTAAACTCTGAATGTAAATGGCATAAACTCATCAATCAAATTTCATAGAATAGTAGACTGGATGAAAAAACAAAACCCATCCGTTTATTGTTGGGAGGAGACACACTTCTACAAAGATCAGTGGAAACTGTATCTCATGGATTTTGATTTTTGTTGTTGTTAGTTTCATCTCTTCAAAATACTTTCTTCTGATAAAATCATTCAATGACTCGTAGATCATGCAGTGTCATCATTTGCTTCAAGAAGGTTCTTGATTTTCATTTCTTCAGCTACATGTTAGTAATTTAGTAGCATGTTATTGAACTTCTTGGTGTTGTTAGTTTCTTTTTTCTCCCTGATGTTGATTTTGTTTTGTGGCTCTTCATTTAAGGGGACGTATAGTAGCTGTGTAATGGAGACTATCATATCTAGTAACATGTCATTTAATTTCATGGCATTGTAAATTTCTATTTTTCTTTCTATTGTTGATTTTGTATCATGACTTCATTTAAGGGGATGTACAGTAGCTGTGAAATGGAGACTAACATCCAGATGTGAGGATGCAGTGCAGTATGCATTTCTGCTTCCAGACAAGGATGGACTTACATGAAACTGTTTACTATATCTTGACAATAGGATGCTGGACTCTGCCATTGTCCATGCCCGCAATGATGGACATATGACTGAGTATGAAGAACTATATGTTAATAATGATATAGAGGAACTAGGTAGTGGGAGGGAATTGGGGAGGGGATAAGGGAATATGGAACTGTATCATAAAATGATAATAATAATAAAATGTTTAAAAAATTTTAAGAAAGATACAGCAAAAATAAAAAAGAGCCATCTTTCTTTAACTTCAAAAAAAGCATGGTACAGTCTGCATGATTTATAGCTTTGTTCCAGAATATTTATCTCCCTCTTTAGGACTTTTCATTTACTGCCACAGACCCCAGTATACTTTGCCCAAACCGCACCCCCACACACACCCTTGTGTTTGAGAAATATGTATCGGTTCATTTTATTTGATGATCAGTGACATCCTTGGTGATAATGCTGACTCCGTGGCTTCTGACCCCAGAATTGATCCTGCTGTCACTGGTTGAAGCCTTGAGATTGATTTTTTTAGCCACATTTGTTTCTTTGTCCTCTGGTTATAGTTCCCTCTGTTGAACACTCCACCTCTGTTGTAATCGCCTCTGTTTGAATAACCACCCTGGCTAGAGAACACAGGGTTGCAAGGGGATAGCCAGAAAATATGAAACGTCTCATGTCATCCTTGTTCAGGGGCCCTGCTCATCTCTGTATTGTTTTTTGTTTGTTTGTTTTGTGTTTAGATTTATTATATTTTATTTATTTTTATTGAAAAGTCAGATTTACAGAGAAGAGACAGAGAGAAAGATCTTCCATCTGATGATTCACTCACCAGCTGATCACAATAGCTGGAGCTGAGCCAATTTGAAGCCAGGACCCAGGAACCTCCTCCAGGTCTCCCACACGGGTGCAGGTTCCCAAGGCTTTGGGCTGTCCTCAACTGCTTTCCCAGGCCACAAACAGAGAGCTGAATTCCCAGGAAGTGGGGCTGCCAGCATTAGAACCAGTGCCCATATGGAATCCTGGTGTGTTCAAGGCAAGGAGTTTAACCACTAGGTTACTGCATTGGGCTCACAAAGCAGCAGTTTTCAAAGTTCAGCCTCAACATCACCTGGGAACTTAGTATTAGCAATTCACATTCCCAGGCCCCATATCAACCATACTCTATCACCCCTGCCAAACACAGAGTTGACCAGAAGAGAGGAGGGACAGGAGAAATAGGGGTCCCATTCTCATAGCCATAAAAGATCCAACCCCAGAATGGATTTGACACCCTGATCCTTTTCTGAGATCCCTGCCTGGTCTATCAGGCAGATTCATCGAGGATTGCTGCCTTGCTTACTACATTCTGTCTCATGTCTGATTTCTTTCTTAAGAAGAATTAAAGGAATTAAGAGAAGACAAGAACTTGTTAGCAACCTGCAGACATCCAGGTGATGCCTTAATCATTTTTAATCACAAGAAATTGTGGCCCTTTTTTGTGGAGTGAATCAGTGAATGGAAGTTCTCTCTCCCCCCCATTCTGTAAATCTGCCTTTCCAATAAAAATACATATTTACTTATTTACTTCCCAATAAAAAGGTAGATTTAGGGCCTGGTGTGATAGCATAGTGGTTAAAAGTCCTCGCCTTGAACGCGCCAGGATCCCCTATGGCACTTGTTCTAATCCCAGCGACCTTGCTTCCCATCCAGCTCCCTGCTTGTGCCCTGGGAAAGCAGTCAATAACGGCCCAAAGCCTTGGGACCCTGCATCCACGTGGGAGACCTGGAAGAAGCTCCTGGCTTAGGATTGGCTCAGCTTCAGCCATTGTGGCTGCCTAGGGAGTGAACCATCAGATGGAAGATCTTCCTCTCTGTCTCCTTCTCTGTGTATATCTGCCTTTCCAATTAAAAGGAAAAAAAAGGTAGATTTACAGAGAGAAGGAGAGACAGAGAGAGATCTTTCATCTGCTTTACTCCCCAAGCAGCCACAATGGCTGAAGCTGAGCTCATCGTAAGCCAGGAGCCAGGAGCATCTTCTGGGTCTTCCATGCAGGTGCAGCATCCCAAAGCTCTGGGCCATCCTCTACTGATTCTTCAGGGTACAAGCAGGGAGCTAGACAGGAAGTAGAGCAAGTGGGACACGAATTGGTACCCATATGGGATCCCAGGCATGCAAGGAAGGTGTATTCACTGAACTACTGTGCCAGGATATATATGTATTTTAAAACGTCATTATAAGCAAAAAGAAAAACAGTGAAAGATTAAAGCTGTGTAGGCTGTGTTCATAATACTGCACTAAGTTTTTAGGTGTGTGTTTCTGCAGTATGTATTTTTATCTTTCCTAGTTATTTTTCTCATCCTCCCCTGCCCCACTTCCCACTCATTCGTTTCTTTCGTTCTGTGTGAGGTGTTCTGCAAGGCTGATCCTTAGGTACTGCATGCCTAGCATGTGCCTGGGAGCATGAACCTGGTGACAAGAAGGCCTGGAGAACAGGTCTGGAGAAAAATGTTTGTGCTTCTCATGACTGCCCTCCAGAGGGCATCCATTCTAGAAAACTCTCTCCAACACTAAATGGTTTAACTCGTGGATACCCATTAGCCTCTTTGCTTGCTCAATGGAATTAAGAGTGAAGCAGGCATAATATCGGGGATGGAGGTGACACCTGGGCTTCACAAGATTGGTTTAATTTCCCTAGCTTGCTGAGAGCAGAAAGTGAGACACCTCGGGTGTGTTATCCACAGGCATTTCTCTGTGGCAGGTTCATGGCACTGCTCTCAAACTGTTGGCAGAAATGCTGGCGTTTCTAAGCAATTGGCAATCATTGCTTTATTTGAGGATATTTGTAAGGCTTCTTGGGAGTAGAAAGTGGATTCATTTACATTCCAGGAGAACCAAGCTAACACTGCTCTCCACTGCTGGAGAATTTTCCATGGGCTAGAGGGCAGGTTTCTTTTCAGATCAGTGTAATAAAATCGAGCTCCAGAGGGCAGGTTTGCTGGGAAATTCCTAAGCTCCACAGTG